TTGGCAGGCACCGTTGTGGAGGAAATTATCAGACCAAAGAATGGCGCCCTCATTCCATCTTACTTTGTTGGGCTAACGATGACTGTGCCTGACAATCAACAATGCACGGATCCCCACTACCACAGCATCATTGGTCAAAAACTGATCCTTGTGGATTGGAAGAAGATGTTTGGGCTGGACGTTTTGTGTCCCCGCTGCAATGACGGAACTCTCAAGAACGAGCGAACGAACTTTTCGAAAAATAAGATCTTGTTTCCAATATTCGGGCTTGATGGGCCTCCAGCTTGGTGCATGATTATGTCGATGGTCTGCGAGCGCTGCAAGTCAAGGTTTGATGCCAATGACAGTGAAATCTTGTGCCGACTTCCTGCCTATGCGTCAGCTGCCTATCCAGTTGATTGGAGATACGCCCTTTCAAAGAACAGTCACCTTGGCAAATCGGCTACAACTGTCTTCGATTTCATCATCCCTACGTATGGCAACGGTGAACTCTGCAGTCGACTACTATTATATATAAAAAGTACTAGTTTTAGGCAGACTACCTATCTGGTCCGGAGGACCTTTGTCAACGCTGGTACGAATCGAGCCCGAGGGCCCAAGCAACTGAGTCGTTTATGTGGGTGTTCGCACGACACGAGGGGAATAGCATTCAGTTTCATTGGAACAAGAGGATGTACCTCATAGAAGCACGATGGTAACTAGCTAACTAGTCTCCGCTCGTCTTTCACCTCCGTCCCCAACGAGAGGGGACAGGTCCTTGTTTCTCCGCTACCACAATGAATGCCTCCTCGTGGAGTGACCGGGGGCGCAGTGGCCTAATCCGGATTAAGACTAAAATGTGTGATCATCAGTTGCTGTTGCCGTTGGAGCTGTCGATTCGCTGGAGCAAGTTGCTTCTGGAACTCTGTTCGGGCCAGGGAGGTAGATTCAAGCCATCGCTTTGTCTTGTCGATAGTGAATGTAAGGGTGTGGGTTTGGTGTCCGGGTGGACTCTCCAGTGGTCGACGGGAGTAGGCCTATGGTGCCTTGGGTGTACTGTTGTCGAACCCGTTCGCGTAGAGTGTCCAGTTGGGATAGTTGGGTGGGAGTGAGGTAGTGCCATGGACGGCTTCATTTCGGTTGGTCCAAAGGTTGAAGTGTAGGCTCCAGATCTGTTTGATGAAGGCGCTGGTCCAGGCCAGGCCATCGCCGTTCTTCTTGAGTCGTTGCAGGTGTGTGTTTGGATGTGTTGGAAGGATTGGGAGACCCTGCAAGTAACAAGTTCCACCAGCCAAGGTTGTTTGGTCGGCGATGGCTTGGCGGATGGAAGTTGGCAATCTGGCGGTGTTGGGTGGAGTGGTGTCGCCTTGGTGCCACCGGTTGAGGTGGAGGAGAATCTGTGTTCGGAGTCTGGGTGGGTGTGCCGCTTCTTCATCCACTTGTTCAGCTCCGTCATTTGTTTCTTCCATTCCGCTGTAGCAGTGGTGCAGTCGACTACTATTCAATGCAATCAATCAGGCATATCTCGAGCGAGTTACTAGCTTTTATTCCTATTTGGCTGCTACAAAAGAACCGGTTAATGAGCCGGTCAATGAACCAGTTGATGGTGAACGCCCAACAGTCTGTTACTTAGAAAAGGATGGTGAATTCACGCGATGCTACCCTCCTCTTGGAGACCTTGTTCGAGACATGTATGACGAAGCATCATCCAACAGTAATGTTCCGTGGCAAGTCAGCGACCATGATCGACACACCAGGGAGATTCAAACTGTCCAATGCAAGTCGATCATAGCACAAGATCATACATTTGAAGTTACCAAGAACTATTTCCACAAGAAGAAGCTTGGAGCAGAGGCCATGTGGACTTGTTCCACAGAAACCGGAGAGATTGCTTGTGCTGTCCTTGTGCCCTCTACCAAAACAAGCGACTTCAGCCATGCTGCAATTCAGTTGACCAAGAGGGATCACTTCAGCCCCCGTGTAATGTACAGCGATACTTGGCCATGTAAGAGCGACTACTGGTCACTCTTATTGGGTCATCATATTCAAGGACGTCTTGGCTTATTCCACTTCCTTCAAAGAATGATTCGGACAATGAGAAAGCGGCACCCTGACTACGCTCAAGCTGTCACCCAGCTGCTCCGGAGTGTCTATGTGTACAACCAACAAGATTATGAGTCTCTTCTTGCTGCTTTGAAAGCTGGAAGTCTATCGAATAATGGGACCAAATACACAGATGACGACATCTTGGAACTGAAAGGAACTTACCTGTTCCGTCAAAGGTACAACAAATATCTTCGAAAAGAGATACGTACACCAGAGTGCATGAGATCGAAACTCGAAGACTGGTTTCACAGGTTTAAGTGTACCAGCAGTACGCCTGAATCATTGCCAGCAGGAGGACGATTAGATCCAAGAACACAGCAGCCATTATTCACAAGTGAAACAAAGGAAGCATGGCGCAACTGCAAGGACAAAGCACAGTACTTACAGGACCCTCTTCCTTTGGACGAAATGTATGAAGCAATTCCACCAAATCCGAATGCAGCGCATGGTCTTTCCGAGTACCTTTCAAGACGTGGTGAATCAGGACTTGAATCGTTTCACTTGCTCTTGGCACACTTCGCAAACTGTGGTATGAGGAATACTCTGGCTGATAATTTGAACCTGACAGGCACAGCAAGATTCAACCTTTCAGTTAGATACAAGCTTCAGCTAATACGAAACAAAGAAAGCAATCAAGAAGCGTTGCTCACCAAAAGAAGGAAAATGCCGGCAGCATGGGAAGGCGTGGTGCCATTCTTTAATCATTCAAGGCTTGGTTGGATCAATGACTTGGCAGTACAAGCCGGAGCGGTGAAAGCGCCATTTTCAAATGTAGAGAAATTGGGAGAAGATACGGGTGAGCGATTCTTCTCCGAATACATTGACTGGTTGAAAAAAGCAAAGCCTGCCGTGGATAATGAAGATCGCTGTTTGTGCACCATCTGCGGGGTAAATCAAAACAATCCGCCACCAGAGCCTGCCGCGTCACCAACAATGAACGGCTACTGCTCTCCAATTAGACAACCATCGCCGCCAACTGTCACTCAACAACAACAACAACAACAACAACAACAACAACAACAACGGGTGGTTGAGCAGGCGCAGCTCGCACCATCGCCAATTCGAACAATTACGTACCCACCAATTCAAACAATGATGCACCAACAACGATTTATGTATCCAATGATGACTGTTCCTCCTTGGCTCGCCATGCTCCCAGCCGCTCCACCAGCACTAGCAACCACCTTCTGTTGTGGCAAGTACAGAGCTTGGAAAAATAGAGTGGGAAGAAGAGGACGTCCTCCGCATGATGCTCATTGTCGAGGCTTTGCCAACGTTAGCTAGCAGGATAAAATAGGACCAGTCAGAATAGAACAGAACCATGCAGGAGTCTCGTTTTTGAATCTCTACTTAACCGCACTAGCAAGCCATTCGGTGTCTTTTTCGTGTCTTTTTGTTGTCTTTACATTGCATGCTGGCTCGAAGTGGGGGGAGAGACCATTGCATATTTAACGAAAAGACCTATGAACTGCCTATCCCCCATTTTGCTTTATATCTTCTGGTGACTGACGTGTTTCAGAATGACGAGAATCAGGAATCCCACATGGTTCTCTTCTCTTCTCTCTCCTCTCTTTCCCCCCACATGGATGCCTAATCCCCCCTAAATGGCCCTCCAAACGCAACAAGAAAGTCAGGCAAAAATGGAACTCGTATGCAACGCATGAGATCTTGCCTCTATGCATACATGTACCGTAGCTAGCTAGAAATGAATCCAAACTGAACATGTTGGAGTCGGAACCTAGCTTGGCAGCCTAGTGTAGCTAGTCTACTGTTAAATTAGTTCCTCAGTCCTCCACTAAAGGACCGTCAATCTCAGCTGTACCAACCGACATAAAGACGACAATGGAATGGTTGCTTCAATGGAAAACTTGACAGCCAGTACGATGTAGCCATTGAGCGAAAGGAAAGCAATGCCATTTGTATTTACTACGTCTCTGATGCATCCGATCCGATCTACTACTACGCAAGCAACGACGAATGATCCATCTGACGCTCCCTTTGGCCGACTGGCCGAACTTGACCTTCGTGTGAAGGTGGAGTCATGCTTTGGTGAGTTTAGTTACGTCAGCCGAATCGAATCGACTCAACTCCAAACCGACAACTCTTCAAACGTCAAGGCCCTTCATAGCTATCTTTGATTCAAGCCCCGCACAACATACCGTACAGCCGTACCGTAGGCGCAATCCAGTGGTGACTGTTGCCCACGCATGGGGCGCTGAGAGGACCAATGGTATGGGCCTCCCACCCCTGCTCCTCGCATACTCCTTCCAATGGATCGAACACAAAGTCCAATATCTAGCTAGCATCTTCCCAACAAGGTACCTGGGTAGCGCCACAATAGTCCATAGTGTTTCCATTTTCGCAAGCTTGTCCGTCAGCGCACCGGTAGTAGCGAGCACTCAGCCAGGAGGGACTCTCAGATCTCCGCTCTCCTGCTTCTCTCGGCCATAACGCTATGTCGAAGCAGGACTTGCGCAACGCAAAGCTGCAAATCCAGAACTCGATTATAGAATGCATGCTACCCCTGAACCTTGATAGTTGGTAACACAAGTAAGTGTCAAGTCTCAAAGTACTGCGCGTAACAGATTTGAGTTTTTGCTAAGATGTCTTCAGGGTTCAGGTGGACTTATTAGAGACATCTTAATATCAAGGGAGGCGAGTGTGCGCCACGGAATTTTATTAGCCCGCAAGGCTGTGTGAACGGAGCATCCAGAGAGCTATCGAACGTCAAAAATCTTTCAAAAGATTCGATTCGATTCCACTTCCCCCAACAACCAACACGCTGGCACGCAGCGGAGTGTCACTCCAGCTAGAAATCTAGCAAATATGTCACAGCTATAGCACTGCCACAACCACAACCACAACCACAACCACAACCACAGCAGCCACTGCTATTACCAGCCTGTAACCGCACCATGAATACTGCCACTGCTACTAATGATGAAGTTACTAGTACTGCCGAGTCTCCTCTTCTGTTTGCTGACGATTTGATTTGGTGTGGCCAGATTTTATCGTTTGTTGGTGTTGGACAGTACGCTTTTGTAGGTGCTGTCAACAAAAAGATGAATCGACTCAACAAAGAGTACTGCCAAATTGAACTCAACAAAAATCCAATAGAGATAAAGCTTGACCCTGGACGGAATTCTCTCAGTCGCCCTGCAAAAATCACTGACACATTATACAGTGAAACATTCTGTAACGAGCCCCGTGCAGAATACTGGCTCAGCGACAATTCCGACCATAAGGAACCTGCATATCGTGATGTTTGCAATGTCATTGCCACAATTGGAAATACTATGGTCATGCAGTGGGTACGACAAAATGGATTGAATCCATTTATTCCATGGGAATCATTCCCATGGAATGAAATGACATCTGCTTATGCTGCTGAAAATGGACATTTGGAATTGCTCCAATGGTTAAAAGAGAATGGCTGTCCATGGGATAGTTGGACATGCCATCGTGCTGCTTCTGGTGGACATTTGGAAATTTTAAAGTGGGCTCGTGAAAATGGCTGTCCATGGAATGAATACACATGTGCTTGTGCTGCTGAAAATGGAAATTTGGAAATTTTAAAGTGGGCTCGTGAAAACGATTGTCCATGGAATGAACAGACATGCTCGAGAGCTGCTAAGAATGGACATTTGGATATTTTAGAGTGGGTTCATGAAAATGGTTGCCCGTGGAATGAAGCGACGTGTTCTGGAGCTGCTGAAGGTGGACATATGGAAATTTTGAGTGGGCTCGTGAAAATGGTTGTCCATGGTGTCAACATACATGCCATCAAGCTGCGAAGAATGCCTATTTTGAATCTAAAGTGGGCTCGGGCAAATGGTTGTCCATGGAATGAATCTACATGCTCAGGTGCTGCTGCACATGGAAGTTTGGAAATGTTAAAGTGGGCTCGAGCAAATGGTTGCCATGGAATGAATCTACATGTAGATGCTGCTTCACCTGGACATTTGGAAATTTTAAAGTGGGCTCGGGCAAATGGTTGTCCATGGAATGCATATACATGTGCCAAAGCTGCTTTACATGGACATTTGGGAGTTTTAAAGTGGGCTCGTGAAAATGGCTGTTCGTGGAATGAAAATACATGCTCGTGGGCTGCTTGGCATGGCCATTTTGAAACGCTGAGGTGGGCTCTCGAAAATGGCTGTCCATGGGATGAAGGGAGATATGGAGGTAGCAACAAACCCGAAGTGATCCAGTGGCTACGCGACAATGGCTTCCCTGGGACCGAGGAGGAAGAGTCCGACGAAGAAGAGTCCGACGAAGAAGAATCCGACGAAGCAGAGTCCGACGAAGAAGATGACGACGAAGAAGATGACGACAAAGAAGATGACGACAAAGAAGAAGATGGGTCTCACGATGAAGGACACTAATTGTATTTATGGTAATTTTAGGAATTGATTTGTGTTTTCTGCATGGACTTTGTGAAGTGGCAGCTCATTTTCTTCGTTGGTTGGCCACCCTCGGATTTGCCTCAACATATGGCCCCTGCAGTGCACCCACAGTGGTTCGCCCCAAGACTGGCGCCCTGGATATTGCCTGCAGTGAAGTGGTGAATGGCGACACCCCGGTGGTGGACGCGTGGGGCACAGGAGTTTGCAACGAACAGCACATGACTCTCAAATAGGCTCATGGAACTGGCGGTACTCTCTACTCCAGCAGACATCTCGAGATCTCAGGAAGACGAGGTTTTAATTGGAAAAGCAAAAGAGAGTGCGGAAACTCAATCCAGGCAGCTTGGGATTCAGGGTGATGGAACGTACGATTTATCGGAGTTGACGAAAATGAAACAGGAAGAAGAAGAACTGCTCAAAACAGAGGAAGTTGCTGTAGAGATTGGAGAAATTCAGCAAGAGATTTTGGGTCTCCAAAGGGCTTCATCGAGATCAAGCCTGCCGAAACCTTCATCGAAGAGTTCCACCAGTTTTCATGTGGTTGGTGGCGTGCTCTGTCCACTAAAATTCACACGAAGGGTGCGTGCGTTTCCGTCGTGCCGCGAGAACGATTCCCATGACAAAGATCGCCAGTGGTCCGCGACGAGCACCCACCACCAACTCGACGCACCACAGTAGCCACACGAGTGGCATTGCCAACACTAGAAATAGAACCGGCATGACAGGTTGTTGTTGCTGCTGCACCCATTGTACTAGTAGGATCCCGTAATCCAAATAGTAGGGGATTCCCTTGTCGGTATAGACTTGACACAAGCGACTCGATACTCCCATGCACAACATGCGATAGGGCGTGACGAGCCAATGCACCAAGGTTTGATGGGGTATTTGGACTACTACCGGTAGTGCGTTTGAGATGGGTATTTGCCAAACTTCGGGATGGGATTCTTGCAGCGCAATATAGGAGGAAACGGCAAGCCCATCCACGACGAGACGACCAGAGGGTGTCATGACATCGTAGAGTCCTTTTCGTTCCACCAGTTCCATGGAAGTGATCGTGACGGGTTGTGGACCCATCCGGAGGACGTCGCCGACTCGAAGAGAATCGGCTCGCACGGGATTTGGTTTGTCATGGTGATAGATGAGGTGGCCCGACGTGATTTCCAAGGGTTGTAAATGTGGATGGGAAGTTGTGATTCGGTGGAATGTCCCCATTGTGCCCGGGCTAAAGTGTCCAAAGGAATAGATGGGTTCGTAGGTAACCTCATAATCAGATGATGATGGATGTGAATTGGTGAGTACCATGTCCCCAATTTGCAAATCTTGAATCATGACGGTACCCTTATGTTGGACTTGTAGGGAAGATGTTTTGGAAAAGCAGTCAATCGTTGCGGAGGGGACTGGTCCCAGCACAACGTAGTCATCTGCGATGTTATCCCCATCCCCCACACCAAAATCGTCGAGACGTCTCCTCGAGAAGGGCCAGTGGTAAGAATAATCAGAGTCATCGTCATGCTCCAATTCCAGGATAGTGTCACTACCGTCACTATCAGTGCTAGCATGCAGGGCCGCGCTATTACTGTTGCAAGCAAAGTCGGTACCACAATTGAATTCTGTGGCAAAGCAATCCAGCATGTGCTGAGCTTGGACTTGGCAGTGTGAGGAATAAGAGCAACAGTCACTCCAGCAATAGTAGGACATGGAGATGGCACAGATGGAGTCAGTCATTGAATTGGCACTGTCTACAGGGACATGTACTGCACATGTTTCTTCGGCATTGTGATCACTTTCACTTCCACACAAGAGACCCGTAGTGGAAGCACAATCCACCAGAGCATTCACCTCTGGTTCACAAATCTTGGAGAAAACTTGACTACCGATACCAGTAGCACTTGTACTTGCAAAGGCAAAGGGATCATGAGAACTCACAACCACGCCGTCGGCAAGACCCATCAAGGTGCTCAGCAAATTACTAGTAGACATAGTGGAAGAAGACATGCTTGGTATCTATCTTATCTCTGCTGTGATGTGGGATGTGGGATCTTCATGTTTTGTGGGGAGAGTGCACTTAGGATACAGTAGACTACCCTTGTGTTGTCCGCTTTTTTCTTTTTTTTGCTTCGGGTTGAGACGGTGATGGGTGGGAGCTCTCCATGCCGTTGAGCATTCTTTTATTAAGCCTGGCCCCGGCTGGCTTCCGTAGATAATTTCCCTACTCTAAACCCCCTTATCTTTCTACGAGCAGCGGTATCCACGACAGCAACTTGATTACCGGAGTAAAACATAAGGACACGTAAGTATGGACTATTTAAAATAAGTAAGACTGAGTGAGGAGTGTACAATCGACCTGGCATGTATTGTACGGAGAACCATGCCAGTGTTACTATTAAGATAGGTGATCATAGTGATGTTTCAGAATAGATGCTGTAGAAAAACGGTCCGCTAAATTGAAGATCGACGGCCGCGCGCTATGGACGCGCAATTCCGAGGCGAAGCCGAGTAGCGCGTACAGTAGCGCGCAGGCCGGAGATCTTAAGACGAGGAGGAGGCAAGATCGAGGCTGCAGGCGAGGCAAAAAGGAAGGCCGAAGGCCTGGAAGCCGAGACAAAAACGAGATCGCAGCCGACACCGAGGCTGTCAATGAAGAGGGCCGTCATTTGTGCGTAATCTGTACAGTGATAATCCGAGTGATACTCAGTAAGCTGTTAGACAAGCTGTTGTTAGCACTAGACTGACACGTTAGACTCCGCAACTGCCCACTGCTCCATTGAAGAAACTCAACAATAGCCCATTCGTTGGCCATCGAAAGACGTCCTAACGCTGGTAATCCATCTTCTTTCCATTCGCATAATTGGACGGTTCTTGCTTCAGAAGATTCGCCAAGATGTCACCTCCATTTTCCTTGATGGTTTTGGAGAACCGATTCACACACCGGGTAATTTTTGCAGCATGTTCCTTGGAGACTTTCCCTTTGTCTTTAGCTTCATCCAACAGCTTGAGTTCATCTTCAGTCAGTTCCATGGATTCATATTGTTTCCCGCTTCCAATGGCCCAGCAATGGCGCGGCGGAGTTTGAGTGTTGGAGGTTGCTGTCCTACTTGTGGAGTTTTGTGTTGGCATCATCTATTCCTCTGCTGTTGGTGAGGCTGTGTCCTGAATTTTCCTCATTTTCCAGGAAGACTCTAGTCAGGTCTGGTTGCTATTGATGGTGTGTTTTCTCACGACCAAAGTCAATGGTACATGGGAGGTTGGATTGGGAGTACGTTTGGATCTTTGAGAGGTGAGGATGGGCAAGTCAAGGGAGTGCCGTCAAGCTGGCCTTTGAGTTACGGTGGGTGGAGGCGGAGGCGGAGCAACAGTCGCGAAGCCAAGGAGTGTGGAAGCATAACGGTTCGCATTGCTAGCGTAGCGGTGGGAGAGCAAGTCTGCTTTGCTCATGGCGTGAGGTTGGTCGCTCATCACCACTTGCTCGAGGAGAGTTGCCGGTACAGGAGGAAGAATGAATTCTCCGTCGTCATTCATCATGTCATTGTACATCTTCTCGTACATTCAGTACTGAATCCTACAGCAGTAAATCTTTCGAGTGAATGACCTGCTACTGGAGATGGCTTCTG